TTTAAGGACCGATCAAATTTAACGTTATTTCTTAAATGCTTTAATCCAAAGCAAGAATTAAGACAGATGGTCCTGTTCTTAATTGGATGTGGCATCTTTGATTCCTTAGATAGTTGTTGGTAGAGAAGCAGCAGTGATGGAGCGAATGGAGAGAGAGCTATAACTGGTAACCAAGGCCTTCTAGATGGATGAATGCCTGTTAATATCACTGTAGATAGCGAAAGGGATAATAGTTGTAAGATCACAAGTTGTATTGTTGTTTAGTCTAAATGCTGTTTCGCATGTGTTGTCATCCTGTCACCACTAAATTAATGAGGGAACCACAGGGAATTCTTGCCACCTTTTGGCTTTTAGTAGTTTATTTCAACCTTAAATATGTTTACAGCTCAGACATGGGACTGAATAAATTCTGCTTCAGACCAGAAATTCTAACACTTTGTGTGTAATCTGAATTTTACATTTACATTCTTCAAAACAAAATAGATTTCAGCTACTAGGAGCTGACTGTGATGCTGTAGGGGAAAAAAAAAATCAGGGTTTTCACAATGTATGCCATGCCCTATAATGATGAGAAGGTGCAGGTTTTATTTAATGATGGTATTACTGTTTGGAGTTTACCAGTAAATAGCAACATAAAAGGCATCATTTTACAAACAAGTTCCAAAAGTCTTCACTAGAATGCAAAAGCGCCTGAGATAGATAGATAGATAGATAAAGCCCAGTAATATTGGGTGAATTAGAATTAACTGCACATTAAATATACTGTATACATCTACAGGTATATTATGTGATAATTCAAGAATATGAGATAACACACCAAAGGCACAGATCATACATATTTGATAGATTCACTGAAAAACTTGAGTGATGAAAGTAAATAACAGTTGGCTGACTTCCTGTTCTTCGTGATGTTAAACTGTTTCTATCATGCCCATCTGTTGTGGCTCTTTTCTCAGTTGGTGTATAATTTCAAAGATATTATAATCCTACCTGCTGTATGTATCATAGGCTGACCTTTAGTAATTAATGTACAGCAGTAATGTCAGAAAAGCTGTTAAAGGCCTACTTCAGTTATTTATTATTGCACGTCCATGCAGGAATTGTGAGAGATGTTCTAGAAATGGGCAAAATAAAAAAGGCAGAGATGTCCTGAATTTTGGTCCTTGGTAGGGATCAAGCTGGATGCTACACTTCCCATAATGCATCTCACTGGTGTTTTCATTGGACTGTCTCAGCCTGGTAAACATAATTTCTGTGTCTAAAATCACACCATTATAACTGACTGTATATAAAAAAGGTGGACGAACCCTCTGTGACATCAGCCATCGGAAGTCTGGCCTTCACCATCTTGACGGTGCTTTACTCCGCCTAACTCCCACTAATCCAAAAATGGTCAAAGAGGTGGAGCCTAGGTGGAGCTTTCTAGACAGCTAGCCAGCTGTGGTTGGACCGTTCTACCTGTCACTCAAAGCGGCCACACCCTTAATTAAATGCATAACATTTAGCCTAAGTATAATTTAAGCAGATGAGCTTTATAAAAATTCACCTGTACAGTTGTCATGGAAGTGGATATTAGCTAGGCTTGAGCTGAGGCAGTCACAGCGTCTCTCTGCACAGGGTGCTGCAGAGAGTACACCAGTATATAGTATAAGAAGTTTGGGACAAATGTGACACAGATCTCAAGACAAAATGAGAAACTGAGGTTACATTCCCCTGGAAAGGATCCCATCTCTGAATATAAGTGACAGTAGCCAGTCTGTAGTCTGCTGTCTGCCAAGGAAGGAGCAGAGACTGTTGGCTTTTCAATCGTATTGGATAGCGGTGATACTGATCAAATTGCTTGTTTTATCAGTCTAAAGGTGTTTTGATAAGATGTGACCCCGTTTGGGATTTCTAATGATTACTGTATGTTTGAATGACCACTTGAGGCTCCAGGACGTTTGATGTAATGGGATAATGGGATTTGGGAGTCTGAACTTGGCATATTTGGAATTGTAAGAGACCTAAAGTTTGAACATAAGAGTACCTGCATTATTAATTAGGTCCTATTCTGATTGGCTGGGAGTCAAGATGAGTCATCACCTCCAGTCAATCAGAGTAGACGCTCATGAATAATGAATATTTTATGTGCAGAAACAGCCTGCTAGGGGGCTGAGAGGAATCTGTGCCGTTTGTAAAGATGAGCTTAGTGAAATCTAAACACCTTTGGGTGAATAAAATGCCACATAGTTTTAAACTACACTCAGTGTTAATACAAAATGATCAAAATGACATACGTAACACCAGCTCCTACAGTTCTTTGATACAACAGTAAGAGTGTCTAAATGTGTGTTTAACTGCACTTCTCATGTTTACCAGGATGTTTAGGAGTTCACCAAGTTCAGGATATGCTGAACAGATATTTCTGATACGCCCTCACACCCACCCACTCTTGTATTTGCTTTGAGTGAAAGCCAGTAGCCTGTCCAGTAAAGCTGTGGAGTTCCCAGGAGAAAAAACATTCAGGGAAACTCCCTGTTCATTGCTTTAGGAATCAGCGGCTCCAAACGGGAGGAATTTGACTGTGCATTAAAGCATGACAGCTGCTGTTTGAACAAGTGGGAAGAGCTGGGTAGTCACTGACATCATGTCAAACAAGGCACTGTTCTCATATCAGCCATCAGGATGTTTTTGTCTGAAATGTTAGCCATTCTTTTCAGCACCGCTGAAGCCTTTGGATGTTGTTACAACTTTACTACTGAAAGAATTCCACATGTTAAATTAGGTGACACATTAACACCTCCTCTTTGCTCTAAGGAATCTCCTCTCACTTTCTATCATACACCTTATTTTTATATATGAGGCTATTGCATTGGTAATAACCTAAGTAACAAAAAGTGCCATGCCATAAGCCATAGTGCCAAATTACCGAATGTTTATGTGTAGATGTATATTAATAGCCTACTGTCTGGTGCACGGTTTGCACTGTCCTGACTCTCTGTTCCGCACTGTGCTGTGTCTGAGAGCTTGATGCCCTTCTGCTGATCGTCAGACTGTTCCAGTGGTTTTCATGGTTCCTGTTACATTCTACTATAAATAACAGACACTGAACATTGATGAAGGCGGCTTTGTGTTTTAGATTTTAGACGTCCTTTTAATTATGTCAGTAAACTACAAAAATGAGTTTTGGAAAAAGCAGAAGATTGTTTGTGTTACTTTTGATGTTTGTAGATAAATTATGATCAATCATTTGGCAGTTGACAGAACATTGAGGAACTTTTCATAATCATTTAATTATTTTAAGTTATTCTTTAAACAAAAACTAGATATTCTCTGGTTCTGGCTTCTCGGATATGAGGATATGTGTTTTATATCACTGTAAACTGAACAACTGAGCTTTGGTTTGCCAGTCAGACTGTGCTGGTGTTTATCACTACTTTTTGATATTTAATTTAATTTAAATCAATTCATTGCCAAATACTTGATTATGGCAATGATTATGTTACGTCGAGCTGTGTGTGAGTTGTTTAGGACCCAGTAAATACGCAGATTCAAACCCAGGCTAGACAAGAAAAACGTGTTTAATGCTCCATGAAAACAAACAAAACCGAGCCGGTCTCTCGTCCGCTGATCTTGGGGAAGCTGCTGA